ATTCTGACAGGTGTGAGATGGTACCGCATTGTTGTTTTGATTTGCATCTCTCGGATAATTAGTGACTTTGAGCATGTTTTCATGTGCCTTTTGGCCTTCCTTCTGTCTTCCACTTTGTTTACTTCCTTTTCTGGTGATCCCTACTTTTCCTTCATATGCAGGCTGTTTCTTTGTCTCCCCATGATCTTTCTTCTCTGGGTGTCTGGTTATGTAGTTCTGTCTCTCCAGAATTGATTTAATGGCACAAAATGCAACATAACAAGGCACAATACACAAGACACTGAACACAAATGTATTCACAATATTAATAACCCTAAATAAAGGTGACCACCAGAGAAGGCCAAATTAGAGGATAAGAAAGAAAGAAGATAAAAATAACAGGAGTGCATAAATGAAATTGGGAAAAGGAAAAAATACTAGGAGAGAAAAGAAAGAGAATAAGAGAGAAGAGGGAAAAATACTATTTATATGAGGAGAAAACTCCAATATAACAGCCACTAACTCCAACAAATGCAAGCAACAAATACCTACAGATGAATGCAAAGTATAAACAACAACTAATATCAAGTGAGGCGAGGGAAAATAGAAGCAAAAAACAAACAAAAACAAAACAAAGAAATAAAAAGAAAAAGAAAAACAATTTTACAAACAACCATAAAAAATCAATATAATCAACAATCAAGCAAACAACAAAAGGACAGAGAGAGAGAGAAAAAATTTTGGATAATGAAGAAAGAGAAGAGAGATGTGTGTTTGGACTTGGAGCAGGGGATTGAAAATTAGATATATAAGTTGGGTGAAATTTTAACAGGGCGTAAAAAAAATGGAACATAGAAAACCTAAAGCAGAAATAGGGTAAGAGAACAATACAACAAAAGGGGAAAAGTGAGGAAGAGAGTGTTAGCATAAAGGTAAAGTTGAAATAAAGTAAAATGATGTTAAAGGAAAAATGAAAATATAATGTAAAAAACTAATCCCAAACTAAAATAAAGAGAAAATAAAATGACACTTTTTAAAAAAAGGTAAAATAGTAATAGTAATAATAGTGATTGAAAATAAAAATATAATAATTAAAAAGATGAAATCAAGTGAGGAAAAAAGAAAAAATAGTTTCTTAAATAAAAGATGGGGGGAAAGTGCAGTAGTGAAGGTCATTCACTTCCTCTACTGTTCTGTGTGGCATGCCTGTTTCCTAGTCAGGACAGTATTGAAGTTCCCTGTGTACCATTGCTCCTCAGTGTTGTAGGTCACAATCCTCATTTTCAAGCAGGCAGTACTCTTTATTTCTTATACTCCTTTATTTGTGTTTACACAAGACTCAATTTGTGATTCAACCCTTTGGTGGCAGTGTTTCTGGATTGACCTTCGGGTCTATAGTCCTCTCTAGCTAGAGTTTCTGAATTTGTTTTCCCTGTTGCACTTAATAATGGTTTTAGGGAATGGGTTGCCCCAGAGCTTGTTCTCTGATCGTTATTCCCCACTCTGATCCCGAGGCTCCACAAAAACTACTTTCCCCTGCAGTTTCTCAGTGTCCCCCAATTGGGTGATTCTATGTATTGGGCTTAGTAAAAACAAACAAACAAACAAACAAACAAAAAAACACAATGATTTAAACTGGAAAAAAAAAAAAGCCAGAGTAAGTGCGTGAACTCAGTCGCTGCATGCAAGTCTGTGCAGTCTTTTTTCCCCTTGGTTCTAAGCATCCGACACATTTAAAAAAATTTTAGGCTGCCCTTTTGCACCCAGTTGAGCTATGGGTTGCTTTTTAGAGTTCCCTTCTGTTAGCAGCCCTGTGAAACCCCTTCTACATTGGTGGATCATGCCAGCCCTAATGGCCATGGATTTTTCTGGTTGCAGACTTCTCCAGGTCCTCCCGTTCCTGCAGTATGTGTTTCTCTCTCCTGCCTGGACCACAGACTTCACCTTATCCCAGGCGAAACTGACCTTTCCATGAGAGGATGCAGAACTCCTCTGAATCTCTGTGCTCATGCCACATGGGAACCAGTGTTCTTGGGTTTCGCAGCTGTTCGCTGAATGCCATATTTGTAGATTTTCAGGCTTCTGCTAACATCCACTTTCCTCTTCAAGATGGCATGGTCCTGTGTCAGAGCTGGTCACTCTGGGTGGGAACCCAACAGCAGTGGGGACTGCCTAATCAGAGGAACCCTGTCCGGCTATCCCCACAGTCTCCTAGAGTATAGCTCACCAACTATACTCACCAACAAACACTCCCCGTGGAACTGCACACTCTCCCTTTGTTCTCTTACTCACACACTATCTTGTAGTCTGCTTTCTGATCAGCAGTCATCTTCCCTTCTCTTCTTATATTTAACAGTTCTTCTCTTCCTTTCCTTTTTCCTTCCTTTATCTTTCTTCCTTCCTCTATCTATCTATCTATCTATCTATCTATCTATCTATCTATCTATCTATCTATCTATCATCAATCTATCATCTATCTTTCTTTCTTTTCTTCTTCTTCTTCTTCTTCTTCTTCTTCTTCTTCTTCTTCTTCTTCTTCTTCTTCTTCTTCTTCTTCTTCCCCTCCCCCTCTCTTTTCCTCTCCCCCTTCCATTCTCCCTTCCCCTTCTCCTCTTTCTTCTTTTCCTCCTCCCCTTCTCTTCTTCTTCTTCTTCTTCTTCTTCTTCTTCTTCTTCTTCTTCTTCTTCTTCTTCTTCTTCTTCTTCTTCTTCTTCTTCTTTTTCTTCTTCTTCTTCTTCTTCTTCTTCTTCTTCTTCTTCTTCTTCTTCTTCTTCTTCTCCTCCTCCTCCTCCTCCTCCTCCTCCTCCTCCTCCTCCTCCTCCTCCTCCTCCTCCTCCTCCTCCTCCTCCTCCTCCTCCTCCTTCTTCTTCTTCTTCTTCTTCTTCTTCTTCTTCTTCTTCTTCTTCTTTTCTCTCTCTCTCTCTCTCTCTCTCTCTCTCTCTCTCTCTCTCTCTCTCTCTCTCTCTCTCTCTCTCTCCCTCCCATTTCTTCCTTTTTTGAAAATTGGAATCCCCTTTTTTTTTCTTTTTAAAAAATATATTTTATGATTTTTTACAGAGATGAAGGGAGAGGAATAGAGAGCTAGAAACATCGATGAGAGAGAAACATTGATCAGCTGCTTCATGCACACCCCCTACTGGGGATGTGCCCACAACCAGTGTACATGCCCTTGACCGGAATCGAACCTGGGACCTTTCAGTCCACATACCAATGCTCTATCCACCGAGCCAAACAGGTTTCGGCTGGAATCCCTTTTTCTAATCATCACTCTGGAAGATAGTTTGGCTAGATATATGAATCATAGTGATTTTTTCCCCCCATTAGTACTCTGACTATGTTATCCCACTGTCTATAGTCCTGGAGAGTTTGTAGGGTCAAGTCAGCTCTTCATCTTACCAGGTTTCTCTTTTCGATGATGAGTTGTTTTCACTTTGTGGGTTTTATTATTTTCTTTGTCCTTCATAACTTTTGCCAAGATGGGTCTGATTGTATATTTCATTGTACCTATGCTACTTAGATTTCAGAGCTTGGATGTGCAGATTGATATTTTTCATAGAATATGTTTGGAAATATACAACCATTCTTTCTTCTAATGCTTTTCCTGCTCATTTTCTCCCTGTTCTACTTTCATTCATCCCTTTTATTTCAAGTGTAGTGATTCTTTTTCTACACTGTTAGGTAAAATGCCCCTATAATGCAGTTATTAGAATTCCATTACCAAATTCATCAGTGTTTTCTTTTCATATCTCATTCTGTCTCTGTTAACATTTTCATTTTATGAAAACTAACCATTTTTGGTCTTTTCCCTTTTAAACATGGGGTTCTTGTTTTTAAATATTTATAAATTTTAGGAAACACACCTGAAACACACACAAAAATTTGTTCTGGTCTGCTATCCTCCTATGTAGACTTCACACTTGCTGTTCCTTACCAGTCATATATATTGTGTGGAAACCTGGCTATTTTAGGCAATGTATTATAGCAAATCTGGGTCCTCAGTTCCTCTTACCACATTTGGAGGCTTGTTGTCATTGTGTACCTGGTCATTTACTGAGTGATGAGACTGTGCTATTTCATATTTCATTGAAATGTCCTTCCCAGAAGTGTGAATCTCTAGTGTTATTCCTTTAAGGATGAACTTGGGGCATGAGCACTATCACCTTTGGATGACTAGTGTTTTGAAAGTCATTCTTTCATTGTCTCCTTCCCAGATTGCTCCTTTAACCTGCCTGTTTCCTTTGCATGTCAAAGATGGTGACTGTGGTAGGCACTGATCTGCCAGAACAAGCAGCAGTACTTTATACATTAAACTGTATTAAAATATAAAAAACTCAGAATGCATCATCACCTGAGATATAAGAAATTTTCCTGGTATTATAATCACATGGAAAGAATTAATAAGCGCCGAAGCCGGTTTGGCTCAGTGGTAGAGCGTCGGTCTGCGGACTGAAAGGTCCCGGGTTCGATTCCGGTCAGGGGCATGTACGATGGCTGCGGGCACATCCCCAGTAGGGGGTGTGCAAGAGGCAGCTGGTCGATGTTTCTCTCTCATCGATGTTTCTAGCTCTCTCTCTCTCTCTCCCTTACTCTCTGTAAAATATCAATAAAATATATTAAAAAAAAAAGAATTAATAAGCAAAGCAAGGTCTATTTTCTAAATCTGTTCTAATCCCTTTCTTTTGGTAACTTTTGTGCATTTGAAAATACAAAGCAACTAATGAATTGGGACTGAAAGAGAAAGTGAGTAAAGTGACATTGCAAAAGTTTGCATCAAGCATATTCCTAGTTCACTGAATTTTTGTGGATGACTGAAAGGAGATGAGTTCTAAAATAGAAATTATGTTTCTAAGTACCCACTGATGGTAACTGCTAAAGTTCTACTTATTATAGGAATAAATTATGGAGAAGTTTTATTACATAAAATAGTCTATAGGTACTGTAGTAATTGAAGGTGTAAACTTAAATAAACTCCTAAGAAAACAAATGAACCATAAATAGACTTGAAATATTCTTATTCTTACCAGCATATTGCATTGATTGTTTCATGGCTTCCCCCTTGATGATGCCTCTTTCAATGTCACCAGGTAAGTATTCTGTATCAGTCTCTGTAAAATCAGTTTAAAATCAGTTTTGAAGGCAAACATTAATGCATGTGTATTTGTTGTGTTGTGTGTGTGAGAGTGTGTGTGTGTGTGTGTGTGTGTGTATGTCACTCTATTGGTTTTGGTGTATAACTGTTTTTGTGTCTAGTGCTCCCCTTATTAGCATTTTTATCACTGAAAATGTACCATACTAAATTGTCTGTGTTTCTGAAATAAATACTTTAATACCATTACAAACATTAGCCATCACATAACCCTCAAGGCACAGACGATTATACATGTTCAGTGATTTGAACAAGGTATCATATATCCAACTAATGACAAAATTCAATTTCAAACTGATGTCTTATAATTCTTTAAGGTGTCTTTTGTTTTTCTTTCTTTCTTCCTTTCTTTCTCCTTTTTTTCTTCTTTCTGAAAATTGGAATCCATTTTTTATAACCTTCATTCTGAAAGATAGTTTTTCATTGAATATGTTTAAAAATATCCAACCATTATTTCTTCTAATACTTTTCCTGCCCTTTTCTTTCCTGCTTTACTTTCACTCTTTCCATTATTTCAAGTGTAGAGATTCTTTCTTATGACAATTCTGATCTATTCTTGTGACTATATGATGCATTTTACCTAACAGCTATTAGAATTTCAATACCAAAATCATCAGTTTTTGTACTATATCATCCATTCTCTCTGTTGACCTTTTCATTTGATGAAAACTAGCCACCTATGGTCTTTTCTCTTTTGAAAAATGGAGTTATTTATTCAAAGTATTTATAAATTATAGAAAAATCTACAACAGGAACACATACAAAAATTTGTTCTAGTCAGCTCTCCTCCTATTTAGAGTTCACACTTTCTGTTTCTTTACATGTCTCCTATATTTTGTGGTAAAGCCTGTGCATTTTAGGCAATGTATTGTAGCAAATCTGGTACTGGGTTCCTCCAACTGCACTTGGAGGCTTGTCATTTTATACCTGCTCATTTACTGAATGATGAGGCTATGCTATTTAACATTTTACTGAAATGTTCTTCCCTGCAGTGTGTAGATTCTAGTGTTGTTCCTGTGAGGGCACGAGCACTATCATCCTTGGATGACTCGTGTTTTGAAAGCTTCTCTTTCACTGTCTCCTTCCCTGGTTGCTACCTTAACCTGCCTATTTCCTTTGCTACCATGTCAAAAATGGTGAAAAAGTCTGTTAGCCATTGATCTGCCAGAACAGGAAGCAATAATTTATACCATAAAGTGTATTAAAGACAAATACTCAGGTTGTACCATCAGCTGAGATATTCGAAATGTTCTTGGTATCACAAGGAGGGAATTAATAAGCAATGCAATGACTATTTTCTAAATTTTGCTTCTACTCCCCTTTTTAGGTAACTTTTCTGTATTTGCAAATGCAAAGCAACTAATGAATTGGGTCTGAAAGAGAAAGTGACTAAAGGAGCATTTTAATGGTTTCCATCAAGCATATTCCTAGCTCACTGGATTTTCATGGATGACTTTAAGAAGATGAGTCCTAAAATAGAAATTATGTTTCTAAGTATCCATTGGTCATAACTGCTAGAGTTCTATTAATTATAGAAAGAAATTATGGAGAAGTTTGGTTATGTAAAATAGCATATAGCATATAGATACTATGGTAATTGAAGCTGTAAGCTTAAATAAACTTCTGAGAAGATAAATGAGCCATAAATAGACTTGAAATATTCTTGTTCTTACCAGCATGGGGCATTGATTGTTTCTTGGCTTCCCCGTTGATCATACCTCTTCCAAAATCACCTGGTAAGTATTCTGCATCAGTCTCTGTTTTAGAAATAAGCAGTTTTAAATCAGTTTTGTAAGGCAAATATTAACATGTGTGTGTTTTTTGTGTATGTCTATTGTTTCCTGCATATAAATATATTTGTCACTAGTGCTCCCCTAATTAGCATTTTATCACTAGAAATGGACTATACTAAATGTTTGTGTTTCTGAAATAAATAAATTAAAATCATTACAGATATTAGCCATCACATAACCTTCAATGCACAGAGGATTATATATGTCAAGTGATTTGATGTAGGTATCATTTCTAACTAAAGACAAATTTCAATCACAAACTAAAGTCTCATAATTTTGAACAGGTCTTTCTCTTCCTTCTTTCCTTCCTTCCTTTCTTTATTTCTTCCTTCCTTCCTCCCTCTATCTCTCCATTCTTTCCTTCCTTCTTTTATTTTCCTTTTTAGAAACTGGAATCCCTTTTTCTAACCTTCTCTCTGAAAGATAGTTTGGCTAGATATATGAATCATAGTGACTTTTTTTTTTTCTATTAGCACTATGACTATGCCATCCCACTGCCTACAGTCCTGGAGAATTTTGTGAGGTAAAGTCATCTCTTCATCTTATCAGGTTTATCTTTTCTATGATGAGTTGTTTGGGTTTTAGTATTTTCTTTGTCCTTCATAATTTTTACCAAGATGGCTCTGATTGTATATTTCATTGTACCTATTCTATTTAGATTTCATTGTGCTTGGATGTGCAGACTGATATTTTTCATTTAATATGTTTAAAAATATTCAACCATTATTTCTACCAATACTTTTCCTGCACCCTTCCTCTCTGCTCTACTTTCACTCTTCCCATTATTTCAAGTATAGATATTCTTTCTTATGACAATTCTAATCTATTCCTGTGCCCATATGATACATTTTACCTAATGGCTATTAGAATTTCAATATCAAAATTATCAGTGTTTTTCTTTTTCTATATCATCCTGTCTTTCTGTTAACATTTTTATTTGATGAGGACCAGGCTCCTATGATCCTTTTTCTTTTATATATGGGGTTCTTAGTTTAAAATATTTATAAATTATAGGAAATCCTACAATTGGAACACGCACAAAAATTTGTTCTGATCTGCTTTTTTCCTATGTAGAGTTCACACTTGCCATTCCTTTATATGTCTCATATATTTTTTGGTAAAACCTATGCATTTTAGGCAATGTATTGTAGCAAATTTGGGTACTCTCTGCATTCGGAGGGTTATTATTATGTGCCTGGTCATTTACTGAGTTATGAGGCTGTGCTATTTCATATTTTACTGAAGTGTCCTTCCCTGCCATGTGAAGCTTCTAGTGTTGTCCCTGTGAAGGCATGAACTTGAGGTATTAGCACCATCACCTTTTGGTTATTGTATTTTGAAAGCCTCTATTTCAGTGTCATCTTCCCTGTTTGCTTCCTTAACCTGCCTATTTCTTTTTCTACTATGTCAAAGATAGTGATTATGTGTTAGCCACTGCTCTGTCAGAACAAGTAGCAGTAGTATATACCTTACAGTTTATTAAAAAGAAAATAACAGGCTGAACAATAGCTGAGATATTAGAAATGTTCTTGGTATTGTAATCACACAGAAGAGATTATTAAGCAATGCAATGTCTATATTCTCAATTCCTCTTCCAATACCTTTCTTATGGTAATTTCTCTGCATTTGCAAAGACAAAGCAATTAATGAATTTGGTCGGAAAAACAAAGTGAGTAACATAGCATTTTAGAGGATTCCATCAAGCATATTTCAAGATCATAAAAAGTATTGGATTTTCACGGATGACTTTAAGGAGATGATTCTTAAAACAGAAATTATGTATCTAAGTACCCATTGATGATAACTGCTAGAGTTCTAATAATTATAGGAAGAAATTATGGAGAAGTCTTATTATGTACAACTAGAGGCCTAGTACACAAAATTCGTATATTGGGGGGGAGGGGTGGGTAATCCCTCAGCCTAGCCTGCACCCTCTCCAATCAATCTGGGATCCCTCTCACAATCCAGGACTGTTGGCTCCCAATGGCATACCTGCCTGCCTACTTGTTTTCCCCTAACAGCTTCTGCCTGTCAGCCTAATAACCCCCTAACTACCCCTCTGCTTGCCTGATTGATGCCTAACTGCTCCCCTGCCAGTCTTTTTGCCCCTAACTGCCCTCCCCTGCAGGTCTGGTCACCCCTAACTGTCCTCCCTTGCAGGCCTGGTCCCCCCCCAATTGCCCTTCCTTTCAGTTCTTATCACCTCCAACTTCCCTTCTCTGCTGGCCTGGTCACTCCTAACTGCCCTCCCTTGCAGGCCTGGTCCCTTTCAACTGCCCTCCCCTTCTGGCCATTCGTGATGACTATCTTGTGTCCACATTGGGGCAGGATCTTTGACCACATGGGGGCAGCTATCTTGTGTGTTGGAGTGATATTCAATCTGCATATTACTCTTTTATTAGATAGGATAGAGGAGTGGTGCATGGGTGAGGGCCAGCTGGTTTGCCTTGAAGGGTGTCCTGGATCAGGGTGGGGGTTCCTTTAGGGCATGAAGCAGCCTGGGCGAGGGTCCTGTGGTGGTTTGCAGGCCAGCCATACCTGCTGGTGACCCAAGCACAGGCCCTGGTATCTGGGATTTATTTATCTTCTCCAATTGAAACTTTGTAGCCTGGAGTGTAGCCAAGCCTTCTGGTTGCTCCATGGGGCAGCCATTTCTGTTGGAATTTATTTATCTTCTATAATTGAAACTTTGTAGCCTTGAGTGTAGGCCTATGCTGGTCAGGACTGCAGAAGCTTAGCTTTCTCTATCACCAGGGGCAATACTAGCCTCCTGCTCTCTCTAGCTCAGTGGCTGCTTCCATTTTTGTTGAGATTTTTTTTTATCTTCTATTATTGAAACTTTGTAGCATTGAGTGGAGGCTTAGGCCAGCAAGGGCAGGCAGAAAGCTTGACTTCTTCCTTTGCTGAAGAAACACAAACCTTCCTTCTGCTCTCTGTGGCTGAAGCCATCTTGGTTGGGTTTATTTGCATATTCATTCCTGATTGGCTGGTGGGAGTGGCTTGTGGTTTAGTGGAAGTACTGTCAGTTTGAATATTACTCTTTTATTAGACAGGATAGCACATAGAAACTGTCATCATTGAATGTGAAAACTTAAACTCCTGTGAAGACAAGTGAACCATAAATGGACTTGCAATATCCTTATTCTTACCAGCATAATGCATTGATTGCTTCTTGCCTTCCCCCTTGATTATATCTCTTTCCAAGTCATCTGGTAAGTATTCTGTATCAGTCTCTATAGAATAAACAGTTTAAAATCAGTTTTGTAAGGTAAACATTAACGTGAGTGTGTTGTGATTGTGCGAGTGTTGGTTTCTGTGTATAAATGTGTTTCTGAGTAGTACTCTCCTTATTAGCATTTTTATCACTGGAAATAGATTCTACTGAAATATCTATGTTTCTGCAATGGAATGGGCTTTCCCAGAGCTGGTTTTCTAATTGTTATTCCCTGTTCTGATTCCAAGGTTCCACAAAAACAGGGAAATTAACTAATTTACACTGTAAGAGAGAAAGATAGGCTTTAAAGACAGTTTATTCCTAACCCCTATATTGTCTCTCATAAGAATATAGGCATCTTCTAATAGAAACCACATAAATATTCATCTACAAGAAAATAAGTAAATTAGTTATAATATATTCATGAATCATATCATTATACAGCAATAAAAATAAATGAACAAGAGCTAAAAATTTCAATGATTAATATCACAAATATTGAAATAAATAATTGCTAAAAAAATCATAAAGCGCATTACCATCCTATCTAATAAAAGAGTAATATGCAAATGGTTGTACCTCTGCTACACCAAAAAGTCACACCCATCAGCCAATAAGGGGAACTCTAAAAGGAGTATGCAAATTAACCCAACCAAGATGGCTGCAGCCACGAGGTGAAATCATTAGCAGATGAATAGATTAAAAAACTGTAGTACATATATACACAATAGAATACTACACTGTAGTAAAAAGGAGTTCTTACCTTTGAAACAGCATGTATAGAACTGGAAAGTATTATGCTAAATGAAATAAGCCAGGCAGAGAATGATCAATATCACGAGAATGTGGTTTCTTGAGAAGGAATCTACTCTTGGAAAAGGTATTGAAAAGATTGATGAATTAACAGCAAAGTTTTAGAACATTATCTAAACTCAGCTGATGAAGAAGTGGCAGGTTTTGAGAGTACTACTCCAAATTTAAAAGGAGTTCTAATATGGGTATAATGCTATCAAACAGCCTTGCATGCGGCAGAGAACGCATCCATCCACTGATGTGGCAAACTCTTATCTTTTTTTCTCTTTCATTTTTTTATTAAGGTATTGTATGTGTACATATCTTACCAATCCTCCCTCCCAGACCTGCCCTCCCTCCCCAGAGGTTTGCTTCTATTGGTTATAATTATATTCATGCATACAAGTCCTTAGGTTGATCTCTTATCTCCCCCATATCTCCCTATCCTCCCCACTATAATTTTAGAGTTGGTTGCTTTACTGACTCTGTATCTATCTTTTGTTCATCAGTTTATAATGTTTTTTATTATCCATAAATGAGTTAGATCATGTGGTGTTTTTCTGTCATTGACTGGCTAATTTCACTCAGCATAATGTTTTCCAATTTCATCCAGGTGGCTGCAAATAATAAGAATTTGTTTTTTGTTTTTTTATGGCGGCATACCATGTTTCCCCAAAAATAAGACAGTGTCTTATATTAATTTTTGCTTCCAAAGATGTGCTAGGTCTTATTTTCAGGAGATGTCTTATTTTTCCATGAAGAAGAATATGGTACATATTTATTGTTAAATGAAAATAAAGGAAATTTATTATCTGTATACAGACGGTAGTACAGTAGTTGTCAACACAAACCAGACAAACTGTGAATCCTGCAGTATCAAGAATTTACTCATTTATTCAATGATAATCATGTCATCATCTTCTGGAACATCATCATAACAATCCAATTCCTGAATTTCCTGGAGAATTTCTTGTGACTCAATTTCTTTCAAAATCAGTGGACCAAATCTCTCATGTTTAGCCTAGGGGGGCCTTATTTTCAGGGGGATGCCTTATATTTCACTCAGAAGGAAACCTGTAAATAGGTCTTATTTTCGGAGGATGTCTTATTTTCAGGGAAACACGGTAGTATTCCATTGTGAAGATGTACCATGGTTTTTTATCCAATCATCTGCTGGTGGGCACCTAGGCTGTTTCCAAATCCTAGCTATTGTAAATTGTGCTGCTAAGAACATAGGGTTGCATATATCCTTTTTATTGGTGTTTCTAGGTTCTTAGAATATGTTCCTAGGAGTGGAATTACTAGGTCAAATGGGAGTTCCATTTTCAGTTTTTCTCCACAGTGGTTGCACCAGTCTGGATTCCCACCAGCAGTGCAGAGGGTTCCTTTTTATCCGCACCCTAGCCAATACTTGTCGTTTGTTGGTTTGGTGATGATAGCCATTCTGACAGGTATGAGATGGTACCGCACTGTTGTTTTAATTTGCATCTCTTGGATAATTAGTGACTTTGATCATGTTTTCATGAGCTTCTTGGCCTTTCTTCTGTCTTCTTTTGAAAAGATTTTATTTAGGTCCATGGCCCATTTTTTTTAATTGGATCATTTATTGTCCGTTGATTAAGTTGTATAAGCTGTCTGTAGATGTTGGAGATTAAACCTTTCTCAGTGATAACATTTGCAAATATGTTCTCCCATTCATTGGGTTTTCTTGTTATTTTGTTGGTTTCTTTTGCTGTAAAAAAAACTTTTTATTTTGATGTAGTCCCATTTGTTTATTTTCTTTTTAGCTTCCAATGCCCTAGGGGCAGTATCAGTGAAGAAGTTCTTTTGGCATATGTCTGAGATTTTGCTACCTGTGGATGCCTCTAGTATTTTTATAGTTTCCCATCTATTATTTAAGTCCTGTATCCATTTTGAGTTTATTTTTGTGTATGGTATAAATTGTGATCTAGTTTCATTCTTTTGCATGTATCTGTCCAATTTTCCCAGTACCATTTACTGAAGAGACTGTCTTGACTCCATTGTAAGTTTGTGCCTCCTTTGTCAAATATTAACTGAGCATAGTGATTTGGGTTGATATCTGGGTTCTCAATTCTATTCCATTGATTTATATGTCTGTGCCAGTACCAGGCTGTTTTGAGAACAGTGGCTTTGTAATACAGCTTGAGATCTGGTATTGAGGTCCCTCCTACTTTACTCTTCTTTCTCAGGATTGCTGTGGCTATTCAAGGTCTTTTATTGTTCCAAATGAACTTTTGTAGAGTTCTTTCTAGATAAGTGAAATATGCCGTTGGTATTTTAATGGGGAGTGCATTGAACCTATAGATTGCTTTGGGAAGTATGAAAATTTTGATGATGTTGATTATGCCAATCCATGAACATGGTATGTTCTTCCATATGCTTACATCTTCCTCTATCTCTTTTTTCAGTGTCGTGTAGTTTTCTGCATATATGTCCTTTACTTCCTATAAGTATAGTTAAGGTTATTCCTAGGTATCTTAATTTTTTTGGTGTGATGGTAAAGGGAATTGCTTTTTTAGTCTCAATTTCTGTAAGTTCACAGTTGGTGTATAGAAAAGCCATAGATTTCTTGGCGTTAATTTTGTATCCTGCTACATTGCCAAATTCATTCATTAAGTCAATTAGTTTTTTAATGGAGTCTTTTGGGTTTTTTATGTACAATATCATGTCATCTGCAAATAAGGATAGCTTTACTTCTTCTTTTCCAATTTGGATGCCTTTTATTTCCTCCTCTTGTCTAATTGCAATGGCTAGTACTTCTAGTACTATGTCAAACAGGAGTGGTGAGAGTGGGCATCCCTGTCTTGTTCCTGCTCTTAGAGGGAATGGTTTTAGTTTTTTCCCATTGAGTATGATGTTGGCTGTGGACTTATCATATATAACTTTTATTACTTTGAGGTATGATCCTTGTACTCCCACCTTGTTGAGAGGTTTTTTTTTTTAAATTTTTTAATTTTTTTAATTTTATTGATTTTGTACAGAGAGGAAGAGAGAGAGATAGAGAGTTAGAAACATCGATGAGAGAGAGTCATCGATCAGCTGCCTCTTGCACACCCCTACTGGGGATATGCCCGCAACCAAGGTACATGCCCTTTTTTTTTTTTTTTTTTTTTTTTTTTTTTAAATATATTTTATTGATTTTTGTACAGAGTGGAAGGGAGAGAGATAGAGAGTTTGAAACATCAATGAGAGAGAGTCATCGATCAGTTGCCTCTTGCACACCCCCTACTGGGGATATGCCCGCAACCAAGGTACATGCCCTTGACCGGAATCGAACCCTTCAGTTCCCAAGCCGACGCTCTATCCACTGAGCCAAACCGGTCCTGGCCAAGGTACATGCCCTTGATCGAAATCGAACCCAGGACCTTTCAGTCCCCAAGCCGACGCTCTATCCATTGAGCCAAACCGATCCCGGCCTTGTTGAGAGTTTTTATCAGGAAAGGGTGTTGGATTTTATCAAATGCTTTTTCTGCATCAATTGATATGACTATATGATTTTTATCTTTCAATTTGTTTATGTGATGTATCACATTTATTGATTTGCGGGTATTGTATAATACGATCCTTGCATTCCCGGAATAATTCCTACTTGGTCGTGGTGTATCATCTTTCTGAAGTTCCCCTGGAGCCAATTTGCTAGAATTTTGTTGAGGATTTTGGCATCTATGTTCATGAGGGATATTGGCCTGTAACTCTCTTTCATTGTGTTGTCTTTATCTGGTTTTGGTATTTGGGTGATTGCTGGCTTCGTAGAAGGAGTTTGGAAGTGTTTCTTCCTATGAATTTTTTGGAATAGTTTGAGGAGGATAAGTTTTAGTTCTTCCTTGAATTTTTGATAAAACTCTCCTGTGAAGCCACCTGGCCCTGGGCTTTTGTTTGCTGGAAACTTTTTGATGACTGCTTCAATTTCTTCCAAAGTCACTGGTCTATTGAGATTTTTATTTTCTTCCTGATTAAGTTTTAGATGGTTATATTTTTCTAGGAATATATCCATTTCCTCCAGGTTGTCCAGTTTGTTGGAATAGAGTTGTTCTTAGTATTTTGTAACAATCCTTTGTATTTCGGGGGGGGGGGTTATTTCACCTCTTTCGTTTCTGATAATGTTTATTTGAGTCCTCTCTCTTTGTTTCTTGGTACGCCTGGCTAGAGGTTCATCAATCTTGTTTATCCTTAAAAAGAACCAGTTCTTGGTTTTGTTGATCTTTT